TGCACCAACTCGACCTTTCTCACGCTCCAATCGCCTCCCATTTCTCGACATCCAAACCGCACCATCCAAGGACATTTGTCCTCCTTGTGCATCAAACATCTGATCTTCCAGATTGAAGGTGACGACTCCACCACGTTATACTGAAAGTTGCGTTGTAGTGCATAGTGTTTCATCGCCACCTGTGCAGCTTGTTTCGAGTGAAATATTTTCCCCTTGTAGAATTCACCATCAAAACCACCAACAGTAGACCCTGGAATTACGCCATATGAATCAGCATATGATAATTCCTCGTCCTCTTCATTACCCTGCAAGTAAAAATATGGAGGATAATTAGGTTGTTCTCCTCCCTCCCCGTCGTCGTCGTCGTCGTCCTCCTCCTCATCATCATCGTCTTCCTCATCTCCGTCATTACTGTCATCATAATCATGATCGGATGGCATGCGCCATGTGTCATCACCGTCATCATCGTCTTCCTCTCCACCCCGATCCTCACTGAGCTCAGCATGTATCTCAGCACCCAAACAATAAGGATTTTGTGCCATAAAATTCCAAAGCACATTTAAGCTATCATCATCGACAATAGGCATTGCATAATGAAATAAAACACCATTCTGCCATTCTGGAAGACAGTAGGTGAAACCTGTAATCACAACACTATCTTGTACTGTTTCGTCTCTAATCCGTATTCTCCGAATTAGATGATCACAAAGTTTCTGATAGTTCACACTGGATGGAATAGTCATATGGAAACTTAGACCACCAACAAAATGGACACCCAAATTGTCTTCTACTTTCTCTGATCGCCACCGAACAGCTAGTTCAAATCTTCTAAAACCACTACATAAAAAACAAACTCACTAATTACTAACTGGACAAAATCATTATGATGAATACATGAAAAAAAATACGACTCTTACCTGTTATTAGCCATCTTCCCAGCAACCAGACAGCAACACCAGAGCTTCTTTCAGAACTTCTTTCAGTTTTTTGGTGATGAAGAACCGAAGGAAAGGTGCAGTATATATGGTGATGGGTGGTGCTGGAGTGGAACAAAATGGCAGCGACAAAGCCCCAGTCTGGGGCGCCGACGCTTTTACCTTCTTAAAAGCGACAAAGCCCCAGTCTGGGGCGGCGCCGCTGTGTTTTTTTCGTTAAAAAAGCATCCAGCGGCAGCGCCTGAGTCTAAGGCTTCGGCGCTTTAAACATATCAAAAAACACAATATTCTTGTAAATACTTTTCAAAACACTTTATTCGTGGTAAATTAAAAATACAATATTTAAGGAATTAACCCACTATCCTGTAAGCGCGTCGGGAAAATCATTATCAAATAACTTATAGTTATATCTAGGGTAGTCTAATATCTAAACTTAGGTAACCCGTTCACAACGCGGGAGCGCAAGAGCGTTTATTTTAGAAGAATTCAATATTCAGAGCGTGAGTAGAGCGATATTATTATATTATTTTTAATAATTTTAATAGTAATAATTATTTTTCAGTTAATATTATCGGTAATATAATATCATTAGAGTTAACAAAAGAAAATTTTCATAATATGAAAAATACGACTTGAATCAGATAGTATTTTTCTATAAGAAAAAGATTAGCATTCTTTTTACGAGGAAGGTGGGTCTTACAGTCTTACTATTTTATTCACTAGCTTATAACCCAGTCCTTTGGCCGGAATGCTCATATTTGATTATTTGTATTTTTACGTTACTTTTAAGTCTATTAACCCGTTTAATCTTATTGATAATCATTCGATCGAGATGATACATAAAAAAATAATATATAGGTCGAACATTCGGAGAAATATCATAATCATTTAAGAATATAAAATATAAAAATGTATCATTGACCCCATTTTCATAATGTTAATTAAGTCCCTGTTAAAATGCTGTTGGTTAGTTTTTTTTTCACAGTCAAGAAATATAGAGTATAAAAGCTCACTGAAATTCTCACACAACCATAGATAGTTTGAAACTAAATCTTAAACCTCACAATCCTATATAAAGGGTTCAATGCTCTCCTTTTAGAAACAATATGTCACTAATCAAAAAGAAATGGAGAGTTGTTGATTCAAGTAATCTATATACTAAAAACTCAGCTAAGAGGGGACCATCACAACTTGAGAGTGAAGATTGATTTTCAATGACAGTCTTGTACTGGGAAGTGAAAGGCGCAAACTATTGCACGACGGATGAAATTTCGGAGGAAGTTAGAAAGAAAAGAACAAAGATAAAAAAACACAAAATTTAAATTGAAAAAATGCAAGGATACAACACGTAGTTACATAATTAGTTTCTTCCATGTTAGCCAATTACCCATTTACCTTTAGCAAAAATTAAGGAGAGAGCGGGAATTTAAAATTGAGAAAATTACATGAAACTCTACTATGAAAATAGAAGTATCAAGCTCGATAAAAATACATACGGTAGACTTAGTGAGCTTGCTAATTATGATGAAAAAGTCCTCTGATTCTCAGAGATTAACTTTGTCTATTTTTTGTATAAAAAAGGATGCAATAAATTTGTTTAGTGTAACTGCTTGTGATTGTTATCTTTGTTTGAAGAGACCCGGGTTCAAATCTTGATATTGCTATTTTTATATGAAATAAATAATAAATGTGTAAAGACAAAAATGACCTTCCTACTTTCACTCTCGTTGCAGGAAATTTGAAATGGAAAAAAGTACACAAAACTCTACCATATATTAATGGAGGATTTGTCTCGTATCTTCAAATAATAAAAATGCATTCACATTTAATGTACTTTTTTTTTATTATCCGTTACTTTCCTCTCCTATCTTTCGGCCACAACTACCACAACCACAAGTTCAACAATCACTCGACTTCTTCTTTCTCTTTCTTCCCCAACACAGTAGTTCTCTCTATTTTTATCCAAAATTTTCATTCCCATATTCACTCTACATGCAAGCGGTAAATGCTTGTTTATTTATCCTAATCTTAATTTAGATCAAGTAATCGATCGACTAGGCTCAGATGATGAGATTTTTATGGGAAAAAGATCAACGAAGGCTTCGGTAGGCCGTGAATTCATGGTGTCGGTGAGGAAGATGAATGAACATAGGCCTCTTTCTATTTGTTCTGTATTCAAATTCTTGTTGTTTCCAATTTCAACTATGATTCTCCGAATCTTTGCTAATATGTTTGCCCTCTGAATTGGTTTCCAATTTCCATCATTCATTATCGTTTCTTCGGCCGCTCTCATCCTCTAGCCATTGTTTTGATGTCTTTCCATATATTCAGTTTCTGGGTTTTCTTAGGTTTCACCACCAAATCAAAGCTTCGATTCCAATTTATAGTTACTGATTTAATGTTTTAGAAACTGGAAATTAGTTCGTGAGACAATTCACGCTCTTCTCAAAATAATCCGCGCTCCCACGGAATATAATTCGCGAATTATCGACGATCTTATGGAAATTCGCGGTTCGGCGCTTTAAAGCGGGAGCGTGGGCCTTGGGTCCACGAATTGTGTGACCTAAATCTAAACGCTTATCTCAATGATTCATTTATTGTCACTCTATCCATTTTACTAAGGGCTATAGGTATAATATGCCCCTCTACTATGACGTTTTATCAAACATGCCCCTCTATTATTTTTTACATCAAACATGCTCCTGTACTTTGAAAAAGTTATCAAACATGCCCTTCTGTTAAGATTTCCATTGATAAAATCGTCAATCATGGTTGAACCGAGATTTAGACAACCCGACATCGGCAAATGGGAGCGGAAATGTCCGTTTTGTCTCCCGTTTTATTGCTCTGTATCTCTTCAAAGTGAAATTATTTGAATTATTTGGCTTACAAAAGAAGAAGAAAAATATAAAGTGAAATTATTGGGGATATTTTAGACATTTGTGCCGCCCAAACCAAAGTTCGACCATGGTTAACGGTTTTGGGATGAAAATTTAAACAAAAAGGCATGTTTGATCATTTTTACAGAGTACAGGAGCATGTTTGATGTAAAAAATAGTATAAAGGCATGTTTGATAAAACGTGATAGTAAAGAGGCATATTATACCTATAACCCTTTTACTAAAGTATTTCAAACTGAACTTTTGTGATAAGGTTGATCGTCCAATTATATATAAATGAGAGTTTATATTGTCACTGCTACCTAAGATCAGTGACTTATCAAGTCAACGAACATAAGCTATACTTGACAACACATTATTATCACCATAAAAATAATAAAGAATTGAACCTCAACTTTGTGGCAAGGGATCACATGTATGAGTCCATTCATCATTGTTATCCAAATCAAACCCAAACCTCAAAAGGGGTGTGATGCTTAAATGGTATATGATTCATACCTATTCCAAGCTATGGACCAACAATGCAAGCAAATTGGGTATTTTCTCAATCTCTGTTAAATAGCTGGATTACTTTAGCTTATGATCATTCATATGATTTACTAGTGCAAATAAGTTGATTACTTAGCTTATGATATCTCGGGAATCGTATTTCTTCTTTAGTAGTAACACTCATCCTATGTTATTCTTTACGAGTTTGAGTCCCCATACCCAACTTCACTATTGACACAAGGTGGGAAATAAACTAATCGAAGAGACTTGCGTCCCCTCCAAAAGGTTGAAAACAATAACAAAGTCGATCACATGATTTAATTTTTTTAAAGCCACGTATTGAAAATACTGTTATTATACCGATTTTAACAATAATAAACAACTTTTATGGTCTATCGACCCACAGTACGCCACGGTTGAGTAATCCTTTATTCTTGTCTTGCACTGCTAACTTCTCTATGGTTGTTTTCCCACCTATGTTGTGACTTAGGTTTGTCAAGTTGAAGATTCAAGATAGGAATAGGATGCCCAATTGCTTTAAAAATGGGAAAAAAATAGGCAAAAAGTTAATGAACTTTTTGAACATATCCTTCCAATCTGAATAATCCTAAGACTCTGTGGGTAAACTAACCGGGTCGGAACCCCAGCCCAAGCGGGGAAAACCGAGACCCGGACACAGCGATAGACTGGGTACAAAACGACACCATAACTAACACATAAAACGCCAACACAAAAACAATTCAGTAATGAAATAAAAGGGTATTATGATTTACGTCATCCGAAAAAGTTGCAGTTATTTTGGTTTGTTTTCTTTCCGTGCGGAGGAGAAGAGAGCTCCGGTTTGTCTTTTGGCACCTGCTGCCTGTGAAGCTGCTTCGCCGTTCCGGGTTCGAGACGGTTGCGCCCCGTCTAAAGGTTCGTTCCTCCGCCGCCTTCTGTAAATTTTCGCTCCCGAAGAAATCATACTTTAGCCGATGATCCGACGGCCTCGTCGGGAACCTCCTGTTGTGTTGAATTTCGGAGTGGATCTTTTCCTTTCCGGTCCGTTTTATCCATTTACTGCCTTGGTGGATGTGGGTTTTCGAGATTCGGTTTTGGCAATGTGGGGGGAAGGAGATGGAATCGATGGAGGCTCGAATTCGTTTAGGTTTCCAACGGTTGAAATCTTGTTTCCACTATGTATCCAAGATTTTCATTTCTTGCCGTATGATTTTCTTGACGGGATTTGGCCATCCTTGCTTCGGTTGTAGGTTTCGTGCTGCTCGGGATTATTGGGTCGGTTCTGTTGCTGTCAAATATGAGCTTCACGGGTCCGTCGATGGCTTCTGGTGAGTTTTTATGGGTGCCCAGTGCTTTCTCTTACATGTTTGTTCAGTTGACTGAGGATGCTGGAATGTGAGAATGAGTTCCAGGTTAACTGTTCTTTTTTGGATATGGCAAGTTTTTGTCATCATCTTGACGTGATTGGGTTCGTTTACAGGTGGGAAGACTGCTAGAAGAGCATTCGATTTTGGGAAGACATATGTGGTTAGGCCCAAGGGCAAACATCAAGCGACTGTGGTTTGGCTGCATGGACTTGGTGATAATGGCTCAAGGTATTCTCAATTTGCCCTTGTTAGTGGTTTCTTGTTAGGGAGGTACTTTTCGAACAAACCAAGAACAAGTTTTGTATGGTAGTATTCCATAATGAGAGTTGGAAGGTTTGTACTACAAGCCATCTAGGTTAGAAGTCTGCTTTCTCCCCCTTTACCCCTGTGGCTGCAACAATGCTCTTAAGCATTTTTCTTCACCAGTTCCGCGATGGAGTTTGCATGATGTTCGAACATGTTATACTATTCCTGTTGTGCTGTTTTACAATATCATTTAAGGAGAGGCTTGTGTTTCAGACCAATCCATTTTTTCCTGCTTGCTGTGGTGCTGGAATCGAGCTTTTGTTACAGTGACTCAAAACGTTTTTGGAAGACATGCTGATCTGCGCAGTTTCTTTTTAATGTTTACTTGCAAGTTCTTGTTTCTGCATCTGTTTCCAATATTGATTTTCTTTGTGTTGATCTTGTTTGCCTATCAGTTGGTCCCAGCTCTTGGAAGCCCTCCCTCTTCCAAATGTAAGGATAAGATCTTTTAAAATGACAATACAAAAACTTGTGTAAGCCGCTTCTTTGGTGTTCCAACAAGTGACATCATTTTAAGTTGTCTGTACTCAGCTAATTGGTCTTGTCTACACAGATTAAATGGATATGTCCAACCGCTCCAACTCGACCTGTAACTCTGTTTGGTGGTTTCCCATCTACAGCATGTAAGTTTTGGTTGCCCAATAGACTCATTTTAACCAGTTCGCTAGAAATTACCACACAAACTTCAGTTCTCTTTCATATGATTAGGTGTTATCATGTTTATTTGCAACGAATTGAACCTCGACTCGATGAAATTAGGGTTTGATGTTGAGGAACTTTCGGAGGATGCTCCAGATGACTTGGAGGGTCTGGATGCTGCTGCAACACACGTTGCAAACTTATTGTCAACAGAGCCTGCTGATAGTAGGTGTTATCTTGCAGTGACTTCTTGCATCTTCAGGCTATTACCATGAAACTTGTATGCACTCTCTGAAATGTGTGGGCTTTTATACAGTTAAAATAGGCATTGGAGGCTTCAGTATGGGTTCAGCGACCGCTCTATACTCTGGGACCTGCTTCTCGGTTGGGAAGTATGCAAATGGCAACCCGTTTACAGCTAATTTGAGTGCTGTTGTTGGATTAAGCGGCTGGCTTCCATGTGCAAAGTTCGACTTCTTCTGCTTGGCTCTTCTCTCATTGTTATTCTGTTCCATGTCAAATTCTGTACCAGTCAACTATTATTCTTATATTTCAGGACATTGGGTAAACAGCTCGAAGGAGCGGATGGAGCAGCTGACCGTGCTGCATCTCTCCCTACTTTGTTATGTCATGGAAAAGGTAAACTTCTGAATTTCCTGTTCGGTCTCAGTTCGCATCACTTTCATTGGGAGAGATTGGCGTTCTACTTTCTTCTTTTTGTTGTTGTTTGGCTGTTGCAGCTGATGACGTGGTCTCACACAAATACGGCGAGAAGTCCTCTCGTGTGTTGACCTCGCTTGGATTCAAAGATGTAACGTTCAAATCATATAACAGGTATGTTTGCTGCAGATGCATTAGTCTCAAGGACCCTAATCAAACATCTCGAAGCATTTAGTAATAATCGTGAATTTCGTTGAATCGTACTACAGCCTTGGACATTACACAATCCCTCAAGAGATGGACGAGGTATGCGCCTGGCTATCTTCCAAATTGGGGCTCGACACCAGCTCCTCATCAAAGTAACATGGGAAGTGGAAGTCTGAAAAGAGGGATGTTAACAACTGATGAAACAAACCAGTGGAGCCACAAGTGGTTCTAGATATGCAAGGCTATCCGGTGGCGGTTCACATTATTAGTGTATTATGAGCAATGAGAAACTTGGGTTACTTGCTACTCTTCTGAATCATGAGATTGAATGTAATTTAGTATTTACTCTTTGATACATATATTCTGTGGTATTTTGACGACCATAATGTACAATTGAATCCATTTGGTGTACTTTCTTTTGATGCCTGATGGAGTACAATAGTGGAATATACATAATACAACATACACAAATCAAATCGATGATACATGATCTATCAAAAAAAGACCCAATTCAAGGGTTAGAATCCACAAAGCAAAGTACACATCCAATCCCATCCAATCCCACCCATCAATTGTATTAGGTTGAACCCTTCTTTCTACAAGCAACACAATTACACTGATGAAAATAACACCATTCTGACTTCTCAATCAATTTCAAGAAGTCATTTCCACTAACTAGAAAGGTGCCAGTACAGGGTATGAATACAATTACAGACCATTAACAGGTAACTAGTTTTTTCTGGATTCTTTCTTTTCAACAGACCAAAACAGAAAGGTTGGGGGAGCAATCTGTGGCACAATCCAAAGTGGAGTGGAAGCCATATATGACAATCAAGAGGCAAACCTAACAATGATACAACAAAAACCAGAAGACAAAGGGGAAAAAATGCAAGCCAACAGCAAAAAGCACTAACCCAGGTGTTGTGACTTGTGAGGCTCTTCTTCCTTGCATCCTCTACAGGATTGCATGGAAAAAAGCAAGCAAATAGAGGATCCTATATCCCTGTGTCCTACGTTTGGAATCCTGTCTCGAAGGATACTGCAGCAGTGGGTTTGGAAAGGGTAAAAAGAGGCTATCTTCTTTCGTTTGTATTCAACCCTCAATGAGGCAGCTTTTCTTCTTCTGTTAGAGTTCTCTCTCTGACAAACAATACTTCTGCAGCTCCATTGCTTGGAGATAGAAGGTGCCTCTCTTGATCAGTATCATCGATTTCCATTTGTTCACAGGGTGGGGTGCCAGTTGTCAGAGACTCGCTTCCATCGTCTTCTGTATTTAAAGCAATTTCATCACAGGTTTGAGAAGAAATTCTGACAAATAGACATGTACAATCAAATATACAAGTCTAAGAAAATGCAGTATTTACCCAATAAATCGTGGTGCTCAGGTAGCTGTTTCACTGAAGTTACTTGAAGGCTTTCAGGAAGCAAACAACTGCATAGGGAACCTGCAGTATTTCAAAAAACAAACAATGGTATCGATTCTGATTCATGTCAAACAAAGTAAAAGGCAACTACTTCTGAATGGTATTTGAATGTCTCAATCGTAATTGGTATAAGGCTTCTGCATACCAAGGCGAGCGAGGCGATTTACAAAGCCTGGGATTCTCTTTCCTGTCAACCTGGAGCTTACATCATCTGTGAAATGGTTGCAGTTCTTGGAGATGAGGTGATAAGTGTCTCCATGATACTCGGAAGCCATACCCTCAATGAAAGTCCTGAACTCTATAGGCGGCATCATTATAGTCCCCACTGGGATGGAACATCTGTAAATGAAACCGGGGCAGTTTCTTGGCTCGACTTCGAAAACTCCACTAATTGGGAAGTCATGAGCTCCAAATCCATACTCCTTCCCATGAACTGTTGAAACAACACGCCCAACACATATATCCAAACATCAGGCAAGCGATTCGGCCCAACAATAATCAGAGAAAGACCTTTACGTTAGTATTAGAGTGTGCTAAATTGCCATATTGTGAGGATCGCTAGATAAAATCTACACCAACTTTCTACAACTCATGCAGGATCATAACCTCCTCTTCTATGAATGCAGTATCTCATGTTCCAGTCGAAATCCAAAGCCAGAAGACAAAGTCAAACACCATTAAGATCAAAGGAACCACATAAGGTGGTTTAAATCAAAGTTGCTACGCTATTCCCATTTCCCACGAAAGGAAGTTACTCTACAAGCTGCTAAAAATGTAAAGAGAAGACGAGCAGGAGGAATCATCATTCTAACTTCTTTACTCCAACAGCTTCCCCTGACCTCAAATTCTCACAAAGGCAAACCTTACAGAAAGATCGCATCCCTTTATCAGCCAATACAAACTAACACGGTAAATTCTTCAAAGTTTCCCATAGAGATTCCCCATCTCAATCTGCCTAGGATCAAGCACAAATTCTCAAATCTTGAAACGAAAGCAGACGAAAGGAGCCGGATTCGAACAAATCCCAACAAGAGAACAATAGCAAAAACCCAAAACCCTTATGCTGGAAAGCAGAAAATCCCCCCGCAAGAAGCAGCTCTCTATATAAAACAAGAACCCAGAAAAGGTAAAGGAAGGAGAAGAAGGAAGGCCAGACCTTCAATGCCAGAATGGAAAATCCCAAAACCGAACCAGTAGGTGTAATCATTGACAGGGGTGAGATCGTAGACATTCAACATCACGAGGGTTTCGGCGCTATCGTTCGAATTCTCCTTCTCCGAGCCAGAGATGGTTTCAGACCCCATTTGAGCGCGCCCCCCAATGACAAAAAGCTTCAAAAATACGAATTATAGAGCCAGCGGGAGCAACAAAAGTTTTTTGCTCCTCCCAAAAGAAATCGGAAGCTGGCGGAGTGGGGAGGTCTGGTTTACTCCATGGGAGCAAAGAGAGGAGGAAGAAGAAGAAGGCGAGCGAGAGCGGGTGTTCAGAGAAAGATCCACCGCCACCACCACCTCCGTCCAGCCAGAAAGGAGGTCAAAAAAAGGAAGGATACAAACAACGAACTAACCTGAATATATACACCAAAATACATAACATAAGAAAAGCCAAAAATGATTAACATACGAATATGCAACTAGCTTTTAGCTTAAAGTACCTTCACAAAATTCATATACAAAAAAAACAAAGCAGCACCTTCACAAACAAAAAAATTACGGTGGGATATTATATAACATATAATTTTTTTACTTTGTATTTTCGTTAAAAATAGCAAAAACTTATCTCTTCTACTTATGACTATAACATAAACCATACTACTACTAGTAAATCACGTCAACTCTACCAGTATTGAATCTGGAGATTCCAAATTCAACTCTGTTAACTCTTAAGTAACACCTAACCACAAAATGTAAACATAAGTCACCCTTATAAATAAATAAACTAACATCAAATGCATAACATCTCTTGTTTCAAATGTCTCGAAAAGAGCAAACTACCAAATCCAAGGAAACAAGAATGTGTAAGATGTATACGAAATCAGTACCACATACATAGGAATCACTAAATTGAATGTACTAATTTGACAAACGATAGTAGCTTAATTTATCGATACAAACAATAAATTTTAGATTAGCGAGAATTCTGAATGTTCACGGCGTACTACCTTATTATAATAATGTTTACTATTATAGAGATTCTCAACCTATGTAAACCTCTTTGAACGGATTACATTTTATACTAGTTAAGTTAATCTCATTGTACCATAGGTTTCACTTTCTCCTAACCATCCTTATTCAAAAAATGATGGCAAGTTGACCATTAGTTAAAGTAAACAGAAAATGGAAGCAATGGGCTGATGCATGATCATGGGCATGGCCCAACAGAGATGCTGGCAACTGGCAACAGTATTTCTTCACAACTACACCAACCCATGTTAGCTAAGACAGTAACCAAACCCATCACCATGTCCACACAGAATCTCAATCATTCACCATCTCAAGACAAACAACTGTCATGAGCTGGTTGCTTGGTGAGGGTCGACCTAGCTGGTTCTCGATAGCAGACAGTAAGGTAAACCAAGCACAGCAGATATGTTGTTACATACAGCATCGCAGAGGATTCACCAAAATGGCAACAACCTGGTTTATATTCATTCCAAATGGATCAATCCCCTCACATAGAAACAAAAAAACGTTCCCACCACCCTCGTGATAATAACAGCTGATGAACTGAAGCAAAGGCACTTGCGAAAGGGAAAACACAAATCACTTCATTGAATTTAAGAGGATCATCCTGTTTCCATATTACACTTTTGTTTCACCCTCCCTACCAAAACCCCCTTTCTATAAGCAATCCAAGGGCGCGAGGAAAGCGCACTGACCACCACCTGCAAAGCAAAACCCACAAGTAATTAGGGCAATAGGCTCTTCACCATGACTTGACACAACCGGGTGAGGAAAAAAAAAAGGAGAGGAGGGTAAAGACTTTGCACTTACAATTAGGCCATCTCAACTTAAAACTACCCCAACATATTTCAACTGTACTCCCAACAAGGATCAGGACGAGTCTGGCGTCCTTCGCTGCCTCCTAATCCTCTCGCTTTGCCTCGAAGGCACAGAGCCCCCATCCGAGTCTGGTGTTCTCTGCTGCCTCTGGATCCGCTCGCTTTGCCTCAAATGCACGGATCCTCCATCCGAGTCATCATCATTGTTGTTCTCAGCATCTCTGGAAGAAGATACCGTCTCTTCATCATCGCGAGGCTCCCCAAAAAGAGCTTCCCTGGCAGCAGTCGACCGCCTTCGAGCACGTGATGACGCTCTACTCCTCGACCCACTGCCCATGACTCCCGGCCTAAACACCCTAATGAGAAAGAACACGGTAAGGAAACTGCCATCGTCAATGGGCGGCATCATGATGTCGCTGCTGTCATCGTCGTGTACCACCCTCTCTTCCCCAAACGAGGACTGCAGCGTGCTCAGCAGGTCTCCCATGTCCCTCTGGCGTTCCAGCCGCCTCCAGTTCCGCTGCCTCTCGGGGTCGGCCTCTGACGGGCGAACGAGAGGGTGCTCGTGCCTCGCATGCTTCCTCAGATCGGAATACGTGCCGCTGAATTCACACGCCTCACTGGCACAGCTTCTTGATTTGGAGTTCATGAAGCTCCGAGCGGGTTCCAGTACCACCCATGTCTTGATGTGGCCTCGGCATAGCGGGCACATCAGCTCAGGTGGCACCTTGTTGTCACAACTAATACTACCAGTTCCAGCAGAGCTCGACACAGTTGCTGACTCGGAATTGACTACTACCTCGGTTGAACCCCTAATACTAGCCTCCTCAGGTGGTGATGCTGAAGGCTGCTGCTCAAACGATTTACGGAACTGATCAAAGCAGTTCGAGTGGCGATAACTGGTGTCACACATGTACGGTCGACAACCTTTGTCGTGTGATGAGCAAATCAGGAGGATGGCGTTGTGGGGATGCTCCATACAGACGGGGCACCGTGCATCTTCAAATTCTTTTATGTTTTCATCTGGCTTTGATGATGACACTTTGGGTGAAGAGAGCTTGGGACGTTTGGAACTGCTAGAGTATGGGGAAATTCTATACCTATCAAATGACCTAGAACGATCTCTTCTATCTTTTGCCATCTTTGAAACTTCTGATGATTCTATACGTTAACACCTAAACGGATCAGACACCTGATATGCAACTGCAACAGAATAGGAAACAGAAGTTTTAGAAGCAGGATAAGGCGGCACAATATTCGGCTTGAAATAACAGTAATCAAAATCAGAATTCCAATCATAAGCAAAAGCTAACTACCAATCCAAACAGCCGCCTGTTAACAGCAAGACATAGCAATGAAGTACCAAGTGAGGGATTGAAATCTTCAAAATCAATGATCATAACAATGAACAAATGAAAGCACAATTTAATCATATGACTAGTACCACTACATCTCCTCAACAAAGCTCGAATCTTTCATTCTTCCAAAATCATTTCCGTAAATTATTACAGAGATTGAACACAGACACTTAACCTGCTTCACTACAATCAACAGCAAAGACATAGAATCGCGATCCAAAACTCAAAACCCTGATCACAATCCATTTTAGAAACTACCAATAGTTCCCGCATCGCCCACCACCTTTTCCTTGGGCTTTCATTTCTTCACCCCTACGCTAAAGCCTTAATCATCAAACCCTAACCCGACTCGAACACCAAAGATACATCCGGCCATGGAAAACACAGATGTCCCCCCACAACAGCAGATCGAATTCCACGGACCAAAAACAGACGAAACAGGGTAACCAGAAAATATGAACGACAGATCCAAGCCAAAACCAATAGTAAAAGAGACGACCAAATCGATTCATGGATTTTTTTACCTAATAACAACCTTCCAGAATTTGAATTCAGCTGAAACAAGCGAAAATTCGCCCTCTCCCCCAATCAGCACAAATTCCACCCCGCGAACAGAAATTAACAAACAAAAAAAAAAAATTCAACAAGCTAAGTCATTTCGAAGTAACCCGGAGAGATGCTCTCCCGTACCACCAATAGAAGCGAAGATCGGTGAAGAACCCTAGAAACCCGATCGAAATCGTCGGGGGCGAAAGTGAGCGGAGAGCCGCCGGGCCGAGCTGCCTTTTCTAGGGCGCTCCCTTTCACTTCCTCTCTCCCCAGAGAGAAATTTCGGGCGATGGGTGGAGGGAGATAGAGAGAGAGAGAGAGGCGAATGGAGGAGAGAGAATGGACGAAGCGACGGTCGATACTTATATTGGCGCAGACGATGACTCGAATGTAGTGAGAAAAGGACCCACCTCTGCTGACGTGTAGAAATGGAGTTCGCGGAATTTTTTGTAAATAATTCAAGGGCCTTTATTTTTCGTTCGGTCGAGTCGGCGCCGTTTTGGGGCGGCAACATAATAGAAAATTGTTACCGCCAGAGCGATTTTGGATTATGTGAAAGTGAAAAAATTGAATTCGAATTTTAAAACTAGGGGAGCGATTTGGCGTATACTTTTAACTTTTGGGTACCTTTCTGGGAACCAGAAAATAACACTTCTTCCAAGCGTGTGCACGTGAACTTTTATCTTAATCAAAGTGTGAGGACTGCTTAGTACTTTTTGGACTTTGGTAGGATAATTTTAAAATGGCTAAATACACTTTTATAGCCATAACTTTGCAACTTGTGACAAATATAATCAGATTCTTAAAAATACATAGAAATAGCCATTCGGTCCATTACTTAACGGAACTCTAATGATGACTGAGAGGACAAACGGTCGTCTATGATTGCGCCTGCCTTCGTCTACGTGGCAATGCCAGGGTGAAATTTAAATTCAATAATATTTATTAAAAAAACTCTATTTTACCTGTACTCAACCTAAGCAAAGAGGGGAAAAAATCCCCCAAAAAAAGATCGATTCTCCCCCTCCTGGAACTTGGTTCCGTCCGCCGCTCCCCTTCACTTCTTCTCCCCGAAGACCTTCCATCTTCAACCTCTATCTTCCACCGCATCTGATTTCCACCTCCATCTATCTTCGAATTTCTCGCCAACAACGGAGGTGGCTGTGACCCTCCCGACGACGGAGGTAAAACTGGAGTCGCCGACCCCGGTGGCGACGCTAGTAGCAGAAGAAGAGCTTGCGGTGGGGCCGCCGATCTAGCACGATGTATCTCTGTTCAGGTCAAGCTCGTCGTCTCCATCTTTACCCTCTTCTCCTTCTTCGTCCGCCATCGATCTCTTCTCGTTTTCAGGATCTGGATTCGGATTCTGACCCAAATTTCTCGTGCGACTTGGATTGTTGAATCGTCGTTGAATTGATGAGCCTACGGAGGGAGTTTGCTGCCATATCGGATCTGGTGAAGGACGCAACGAGGATTTTGGAGGAGGGGAAGTCGGATCCAGTGAAGGACGCAACAAGGATCGCAGGGGATGGTGGGTTGACCTGGTCAGCGACGGAGTTGGTGGGTGCGGCAGGAGGATTGGCGAAGGTGGTTGAAACTCAAGGCACCACCATTGCTGTCCCAACCACCCTTCCAATTACTTCCAAACCTCTCACATTCTTCGCTCACTCCACACTTCTTTTCCCCTTCCATTCCTCCACCCCATTTGAAATTCAAATAATGGAAGAAACAGATGCTCCAGCTTTAGCTCGCTTCCCTCCAGGGTCCATTAGGGTCGCTGCCGCCGCCGGTTTTTGCGATGAAGATGACAAGGGTTGAGCAGCGAAGTGATTAGAAGATTGGGAAGTAAGATGGAAGCCGGATTTCGGCGTCGCGATGATGTGGCGCGGGAGGTGGCAATTCCAGTCCAGTTGGCGATGATGTGGCGTCCACATGTTGGCCACCTCAGCGACGCGAATAGGTAACTAACGGTGTACCCAACGACGTCACATTTAATAACGGAAATGGCTAATTGTCAATGCATTTTCAAATTTTTTGCTATTTCTGTGTATTTTTCAGAATCTGGCTATATTTGTCACAAAGTGCAAAGTTGAAGGCTATGGAAGTGTATTTTGCCTTTTAAAAAAAGTCGATTTCGACAAAATGATATATTTATTTTGCTGTAATGGAATTGTATTATTACAAAAGAAAATAATGGTTGATGGTACTGATGAAGTAATAATGGAAAAAGGTTTTCAAACTCAACAATAACTTTTCTACCATTTAATTCGAGTATTATCAACATAAAACGTTAATAAATAACTATTTACGTTACTAGTTTATCACGTACAAACATCATCACCCACCCAATTCACTCATGCAACATGATAATTGCCCTTTTTCTATTAATTAATACTGCCCAAACCACACCACGATTCAACAACCTATTTAATCACCATACTTGCTCTTGCTAGATTCAAAGCGCTCATAATTGGATAGGCGAGATGATGATAACAATGAAGCCCGGAAATCATTGGACTGGAATCCATAAAAGTGAAAACAAAGTTGAGATAATGGGTCGGTCATCGGTGATCTCGGGCTTAGCCTTCCTATATTTTGGGCTCTGTTATAAATTTAATTGCACACGACAAAACGGACCGAGATTTATCTGATGGGCCACAAACTGTGTTCTTCTCAGCCCAGTCACTGTATTTGGCCCATTTAAAGCAGTAGCCTGACTGTGCCTTTCTACTTTTGGGCCTCCAAATTACAAGCATTTTACACGCGAGCCAACGTGCCGGCCATAATTACTTTACTTAAAATCCCACCCTCAGGCGGGCCCCCACTAATTCCTACATAGATAGACAGAATCCCTAATGACGACAATTTTTTAATATCTTCCACGTCTTTAAGATCACCAATCACATAATAAAATGATAAACATGCTCTGATATTAACTTGTAATCTTTTACCAAACACACAAATATGAAATATGATTTTATTTCCATTACGCGAGTTCATTTAATTTCATCCCGACAAATCATCCCCCAAAAATCATTAAGCAAAGAATAGTCCCCAAAATCTAAATTCATGAAAGAATCCTTACCTCATAAATACGGTACGAAAATAAGTTTGATTCGTTTTTCAGTTTAAGTAAACAAATATTTTAACTTGTGATCAAAAAATAAATCACTTCTACAGTTTTCTCCTTTCCCTCACGACTTATGCATCATTCTAATTAACTACACTCATCACAAATTGCAATACATTCAAAATCCAAACTTCTAAAAGAGATTTCCAAGATAATAAATACTACCAATGAATAATCTATATTAAAAAAATGTAAATTTGCTTCCTTCACGTAACCTCGAATCACGACAGGTCATGTTCACATTTTCTCTTCTCATGTCCCTCCTTAACTCACCCCCAATTAACACGATTCTTCGACTTTCAAAAGACTAACTTTTAACTCGCACGATCACTAATGATAATTTATCTCGAACTTTGATGGAATCAACTTAGAAGATTTCAAATTTTCAATCAAACTCAACAATAATCAATTTAGGAAAAGATGTTTGGTGGTGACCGTGTGAAGGATACACCCCTCCTAATCCCATCACAAAATTAAATTAGAATAAAGAAAAATCGGGATCAAGGTCTAAATCCCACTGCCGGGTGGTAGCAGAAAAGTACTTATCCGAGTGCTTACCTTTGCTTGCTGCCTTGGTTCATCTCATCTCCTCCAGCCCTCTTTCCCTTTCTTTATTCTAACACTCTTTTTCTCTCCACCATTCTCTCTTTTTGTTTTTATTTCACCAAAATTATTATTTATTAAAAAAAAAAACCTCGTGTCTTATAATTCGGCCCGTAGGGTTACCCTACAAAAATTGGGCCCCAGGTCCCGTTGGTTGGCCCATCTTTTCCCCAAAATCATTTATTTTTTGTTCCCTTTCCCCCCCTTCTTCTACTTACTACTTAGCTGAGCTCTCTCTCCCTCCTCTCAAGTCTCCTCCACTTCTCCTTCTTCCTCTTCCTCCGTCCCTTCCTTTCCGCTCACTGCAACTCTCCTCCTTTGTCCCCTTCCTACCGCCGATTGCCTACCGACAGCTTTTTTTTTTCTCTCCCTTCCCCTTATAAGCCCTTTGCTTCCTACTCACCCCATACAGTCTCCTCTCTCTCTGTCTCGCTACTACTCTGTTTTCCTGATCCTCTGTTTTTACTTTCGTCTCTCCGATGGCGTTCGGCTGTATACCCAATTGTTTTAACACCCGACGCCTCCGTGGAGCAAACGGGGACAGGGTTGCGGCTGTGTCAGACGATTCCTGCTGCTGGGGAGAGGTTGAAAGTGAGGAGGAAGGGAAAGGAGGAGCAGGGGATTATGACCATTGTTCTCCGGCGAGGTACGGCTGGGACGAGATTGAGAAGCTGACCCGGAATTTCGAGTGCTTGATTGGATCCGGTGGGTTCAGCAACGTGTATTTGGCTGCCGGTTCCGCGGCGGTGAAGGTGAGCTGCTCAGGGGATTATCTAAGCCCGCTGTTCAGTCAGGAGCTCGACATCCTCCTCCGCCTCCACCACCGGCGCATTGTCAAGCTTCTGGGCTACTCCGACGATAAAGGTGTGTTCTTTTTTAAGATCTGGAGTTCTAAATTTCGATTTGGGCTTGTCCCAATTTTCACGCAAGCTAATTGAAACAATTTCTTTTTGTCTTCAGGTGGCGCGCTGGTAATGGAGTATGTTCCCAATGGAACGTTACAGGAGAACCTCCACGGGAGCGGCCGCCGGGCGCTCCCGTGGAGCAAAAGGATGGCGATTGCGTACCAACTTGCCGAAGCAATCGATTACCTCCACTCCAACGTAGGTGACGTCCCAATCGTACACGGGGACATCAAGGCGTCCAACGTCTTGCTCGACGGGGAGCAAAGCTGCAAGCTTTGCGATTTCGGGTCGTCGAAAATGGGGTTCTCCTCCGCCGTGGCCACGGTGGGCGGGCCGAGGAGGGGAAAGAAATTGGTGATGATGGGCTCGCTGGGTTACTCCGACCCGTGTTATCTGCGTACTGGTTTGGCTTCCAAGAAGAACGACATCTACAGTTTTGGGGTGATCGTATTGGAGCTGGTGACGGGCCGGGAGGCGTTCTCCGAGGAGAAAGGGGAGGTTTTGGCGGCGGTGATTAGGGAACTCGGCGATGAAAAAGCAGGGGATTTGGCGGGATTGGTGGATCCGAAATTGGGAGGCGAGTTCGATTTGGGGGAAGTGGAGGCCATGTTCGAGATGGCGAGGAAATGTGTTGGGCTGGAGGTGAGCGTGCGGCCTTCGGCGGCGGAGATCGTGGAGAGCATGAAGGCGAGTGTGGCGTCTGCGTTCATGTGCGGGGAGGAGGGAAAGAAGAAGTTTTGAACAGAGGGATTGGTGTAAATTTGGGCTATACTCTGTTTTGCTGGGATTATACTCTTTTTTTGGGGTTTTTTGTGTGATTGGTTCACATGATTGACAATCCATATGTATAGATTCAAAAACCAACATAAAGGAAAGGAAGAAAGAAAGGAAGAGGGTTAGGATTTTACTATTAGGGGATGATTGGAATAGCATGCAGTGAAAAGCTTGGCATTGTTTGTTTCCTTATTATTGGATTGCGGTTGTTTATTATTCCACGTCGTTATAAATGTTGCGTAGTAGTAGTATAAGTTCTAGATTTCTTGTTTGTTAATTGTCATTTAAATTTGGGGTTTCAAAGCAAATGGGTAAGATTCCAAACCACGTAGAAGAGTATGTATCTTAATTGAGTAAGGAAATAACGTAATAGTTTTAATTACAAATCCATTGACGGTAAAATCATATTGAAGTTCAAATCAACAAAACTAATAATGCAAAAATAATAGTAATATATTTGACAAACCATTTACAAGCAGTTATGATCCTATATCAAATTTATGGTGAAATGACTGCGAAAAATGTGATTTAACCCTATTATAACAGTCGATATGATATCACAAACACAATTAGACCAAACTCATGTCAAACTGTACCTTTCTTATAGACTTGGAAGTTAGCCTGCCAGGCAAATGCCCACCTTATGATTTGTAGTTGTGTATTGGTACATTCTAGGGTTGCTCAATGAACTCAAAAAGTCCACACGCCATATGCTTTTCTCATCATAAATTCATAATATTTGTGTAACAATCAAACTCCATTAGAGAAAAAAACAGGTTCATAGAGTTCAGACGGATGGTGATAGGAGAACAACTAATACAATAACAAGTCAAACTGATAAATACAAGTCTTTTTTGTTTTGGTCTTGAAAATGATGAATACGTAGAGTTGAAGCCATCATTAATAGGCAAGAATGTACTATTGACTTCTGATGATTAATGCTTAAGGCAAGTCTATGACGTAATTTCAACATCGGTTGTTCCTATAGAGTCATCCGTTCATTTTATAAGAGCGAAAGGTATCTTCAAATGAACCTTGACAAAATGGTGGATAGAATTGATATGAGATCTCAATGAGATGAATCCGACGCCATAATCATTTCAACGGCTTGATCATTCGCTATCGACAAAGCAAAATTCAATCCGACAATATATAAAAAGAGATGAACTCGGTAACTTTGGTGTTCGTCCGACTCCCGACCCGACCAATGCCACATGTATTATCTGTTTATTTTACATAGGGTGATGATGCAATGCAATTCTTGTGATTCATTTATTTCCCAACTTTGTGATGATGCAATTCTTTGTGACTAATTTATTTCCCAACTTTATACCCACTTGATGATCGACTGGTCCAATGTTGCTGTTTACAAACAGGGCAGGAGAACAAAGTCCAATACCTTGCCTTCCTCAATGGATACTTGACTTAGTGGAACAGAGTAATTGCCGGCCTCGTAGTTAAAGCCCTTTTAAACTCAAATGGCGTGGAGTCAGCCGGTGATGTCACATATTTTAATGGCTTCCACGCCCCCGATCTCCCTGAAGTCAACTAGGAATTAGGATATCCATATACCATAGCGCCTCTAAGGAAATGCACATCAGAAGTAAATGTTATCTTTACCCAATGCCCTGAAACCAAGAAAGATTCAAACTTTATGGAGGGAAAGAGGAGAATTCAAGATTGGGAACCAAAAAACAGAGCATCCGAAGAGCAACCACAACCACAACAGCACCAACCCAAAGAAGCCGGAGTCCTAACGTGGAAGTCATGTGTAAAACTGATAGTGGGGGTTGTTATTTGATTTCACTTATTTGTTTAACTTCAATTCCCATGGAACATGGAGCACACTTCGGAGGTGTCGTGTTGTTGTAGGCAGAAATCATGAAGGTGGGGAATGTGCTCTTCATGTGCTCTTCTTTTCTGTCAATGGAGGGAGGTGGGACAACAGAAGTTATGACTTATGACAGGGAGAGACAGAGTGGTTTCTGGTGCCAGTGTGTTTTTTTTGTGTGCTGTGAAGTGATGATGAGCAGACTTAGGGTAGGGTTTTTGATGATTGGTTGCATCCAGATAGCAGTTGCCCAATTGCAACTGCCTTGTCATAGCTCTCACATGGTTCACAATTCCATCTGTCGATCCAACTCAACGGATAAAAGGAATTCTGCTAGGTTCCGACGGGGACTAGGGTCACCATACCATAGGATGAAATACTTATTGGATTGCGACGATTTTTGTGGCCATAAAAAATTCAAGAAGGCGCTAGCTGTAACGTGGGTTTTGGGATCTTGTATAGAGCTTATTTTGTTTAGGAGTCATTTAAGTTTTTTTTTTTTTTTTTTTTTTGAAACATAGGAGTCATTTAGGCGATGGAAACAAGCTTAACGGTTTAGAATATCTCCGCACTTACATTCAAATGATTAATAACTTACTTAACACTTACCAGCAAGAAAAATGCTCATATGTTAATAGAATCGTAGCTTAACATGGTCACAAAGTTCATGGGCTATTGAAAAGACTGAGAGAGAGGATTGAATTGTAGATGATGCTAATTTATCTCATTTGATATTGATCGTCTAGCTCCACCTAGTTACGCGTATGCAATACCTAGGTGTCCCTTACTCTGTTGTCATGTTCTCGATTTCGAATCGCTACAAAACCTTTAGGCACATAATTTTGAACAATGACTCATACGAATTGGATGCACATGATGTTATTTTAGTAAATAACACGAGCACTTATTAGTAATGAGTGAGATTGTTGACCATCAGGGGCGGACCTACTTGTTAGCGAGGGGTGTCGTCCGACACCTTTTCGCCTGAAAATTTTGTTAAGGACCTATATTTTTTTGTACAAAAAAATTTAATACGAGACTTTCGACACCACTTTAATAATTATAGTTGATACTCTTTCATTAGGCGACACCCCTCTTCAACAATTCTGGGTCGCCACTATTGACCATGACCTCATCAAAATGGTAGTCGGGCTTACAAGTTTGCGATAAGATGAAGTTGATATAATTGGATCGAACAATCATGTGATTTCAATCTTTGAAAGCATTCCATGATATTTCTGAATATAAAAAAACTACCATGTGCCGCTAACGACTTAGATTGCATATTACACGATCCGTAAAATGTCAACTCGAACCGACTCCAACCTAATCAACATGCTAACCGAATTAATATAATAGGGAGCTACTTTACACCACATAGAAACTAGTGGCACACACCCTCACATGATTGCTGCATTTGGATCATGAAAACAAGGATATAAATTCCCCATTTGTGAGTTTTGTCATCTGGCCTATGATCATTGCCATGCAACTTTTATCAATAACTCACATGACTGAATAAATACAAATTATTGAGGTTTCCAGCAGGACCCCCAAATCAATAATTGTATGATGGTTGGTTGATTTGGAGCAACTCTAAGTTTGTTGCATAAACACCATGGAATCATTGATAATTGATTAGATCTAGCTAATAAAATCCCACTCATCACTAAATCATGTACTACCCAAATTCAAAGCCACAGAACCCATCTTCTGGCCCTAGGCCAACATGGCAGTCTCAGTCTGCTGTTCCTAACCTTTCTGGCAGAGTGGTGGCAAATTAACTGTAGCCGTTTCCAAGACAGTTCAAACATCGCTGGACTCTGCAAAGCAAAGCAAAGCAAAGTACAATTCGCCTTTAATTTGCATAGCATTGATAAGGGGTTGGTCCAAAATTTTGGGTGGTGGTTGAATGACTTACCTGTTGCCGTCGCAGGTAGGGCAGAGGCAAGGGTTCATGGCGACTGGGTCGAACAGTGGCGACCATTCTAGGGTCGCATTTCCATTGCACAGTTTGCAGATGTAGAACCCTTTCCCTCGGCAAACCCCACATGGCAAAGCAACTTTTTTCTGGCGGGTAAGGACGTAAAACAGAAAACCCATCTCTCAGAATTTGAAAATTCAACATATCACGGCACCAGGAGAGTGAAACGAATTTGGTACGATCGGTTGTTCGGGTTACCCGTTTGAGTTCGGCGGCGTGGCGGAGAGCGTTGACGGCGAGGGTGGAAGCCACGTTAACAGCCACCAATCCGCCGAAAACGAAAGCGGCGGTGGTCACCAAGGGGCGAATCGGCTTCGGAATCATGGTTTCAGGGTGTCAGATCGGGTTTCTGTTCGGCGGGACTCTAATGGGAATTTCTTCGAACAGTTGGTGTGCTTGCAGTTGCAGTTGCAGTTGCAGATGGGGATGGTGCCCTACCAGTCCTAGACAACAGATTAGTTACTTTCATGGCTGGAAAGATTTGATCCAGCTTGGATGAATGGGCCAGCAAGGATTTGGCTGACCAGCTCTCTGGATCGAAGAGTCGACAAAGTTATTTGCGGGTCGAGAATATCATAGAGAGCCCATTCAAGCACAGGCCCGTTTTCCGCAGTAGAGCGACAGGTAATGGGCTTCTAGCGTTTCAACCCCGGGCTATGGTTTGGAGTTTCGTTAGCCCTAAACCCATAACAGGATACCAATTACCATGTTTAAATAAAATTTTAATTACTTATGTTTTTTCAACCACGGGCTATTTCACTTCCTTCCTCCAATAATATATAGTAGAGTTTTGTCTACTTTTCTCTATTTCAAACTTACTGCAACGAGAGTGAAAGTAGGAAGGGCATTTTTGTCTTTACAATTAACTAATTATTTCATATAAAAAAAGTCAATATTAGGATTTGAACTCGGGTCTCTTCAAATAAAAACAACAATCACAACCAATTACACTAAACAAACTTTTTGTATCTTTTTTAATATGAAACATACACGAAGTGATACTCTGAAAATCAGAAGACTTTTTCATCGTGATTAGCCAGCCACTAAGTCTACCGTATGTATTTTTATGGTACTTGATACTTCAATTTTCATAGTAGAGTTTCATGTAGTTTCTCAATTCTAAAATCACTACTCTCTCCTTAGTTTTCGCTAAAGGTAGATTTGTAATTGGCCAACATGGAAGAAACTAATTCTATTACTATGTGTTGCGTCAATGCATTTTTCAATTTATATTAAAATTTTTACTTTTTTATCTTTGTTTTTATCTCTTTCTAACTTCCTCTGAAATTCCCTCCATCGTGTGTCCCCTTCACGTCACAGTACAAGGCCGCCTTTGAAAATCAATCTTACGATCTCTTGGCACTACGATTTTATTCTTGGGGATCTAAACTGGGCAAGTTAAAGATTTCAACTCCGATTTCAATCCATGTCGAATAAAATGGAGTTCAATAAATGGAGGTGCATAAGGAGGATTACAAATTGAATTTTTGGTTGAAACATACGCCTCTTGAGATTGATGGTAGAGTGGATAAATTTTTATTGTACAACGGAGAGTGGTGGCTATTGGATCTTTAGGTTTATGGTTTTTGAACCTATTGCAACCTAATTCTATCTTAAAATGAGGAATCATCGATTGATTTACTAAAGTAGGTCGGTCAATTCTTTATTCAACCTACTGGAACTGATAGAAAAGGAGTGTCTAATTTTGTTCCAAATGTATAATCTCGATCGAAGGATTGTCAATAAAATTAAACGGGTTGATAGACTTAAACGTATCATGAAAATATAAATAATCAAATATGAATATTCCGACCAAGGGGCCGGGTTATAAGCTAGTAGCGGTAGAATGACAATGCGCGGGAGTTTATCATTCTAATTTTCAAATAGTCAATGTAGTAACCCAATTTCTATACCTGCAGTTTTTCGAGTAGCTGTGGATAATATTCGCCCAATATATCTAACAGTGGCATACCCAGGGATTTATATTAGGGGTTTCCGCTTTCAAAATAAAATAAAATAAAATAATTCTTAAATAAGAAAAGTATCCGAATAATATTCAACAACACAAATATTTGGTTAATACAAGTTACAACAAATTCCCACGTCGTGTTTTCATATTCTGAAAATATTCTAAAATACACTCCGTGTCTATAGTATTCAGCAAATCACTTTCAATATATCCTACGAGACAATCATTCACAAACTGATCGCCTAGTCGATTCCGAAGCTTGTTCTTGATGTAACACAAAGCTGAAAAGGCTCTTTCAACACTTGCAGTTGCAACCGATAAAGTCAATACAACTTTGAGAAGCAGGGTTGAAGCTTGATGGAAGCAGGGTCTCATTTTTTGCGAAGTTGGATATGAGTTTTAGGGTTTTGTTGTCAAATTGTGGATAAAATTGATATGTTTATAACTATAAGTATCAGTATCTTAAATTTATAGCAAGATATGAGTTGTAGTGTAATGGTAAACATGTTAGCTAGTAACTAAGGTCTCCTAGGTTCAAATCCCATGAGGTACTTTTTTTTCTTTTTTTCCTAGGCTCAAACTACTACCGGGGGTTCGATAAATTTTCTCCGAGATTTTAGGGGTGTCCGGGGACACCCCCAATCCTCCCTGGGTCCGCCCCTGATATCTAATATTCTATATCTAAAACTCAACATGCAGATATTTAATTATAATGTAGAAATTAAGAATGCGGAAGAAAGAACGCGAGATTTACGTGGTTTCCTCGTTCGGTGAGAACGAGACTAGTCCACGGAGAACGTGAGTTCTCGGCTGAGCTATTATTCACTCTTTTAGGTTTTCTGTTCTTGAGGAAGGCGTATAAGCCTCTTCCCCTTAAGTACACGAGACCAACAACCCTAACAACATGAAACACGAGTTTGATGGTAAAGTACAAAATGCACCCTAAACTTAATAATAAGTCTAGGAATCCCAACACTCCCCCTCAAGCGAAGGAATGAATGTCAAGAAGACCGAGCTTGACAAGTAGATGCGAGAACTGATCGACACTGAGTCCCTTAGTAAAAATGTCAGCCGGTTGGTCTTGAGTAGCAATCTTGAGAGGAATAATGTCACCTGACTAGACTCTTTCCCGGACGAAGTAGCAATCCATTTCAACGTGTTTGGTGCGTTCATGGAAGACTGGGTTCGCCGAGATATGGAGAGCAGCCTGATTGTCACAATAAAGAGGAGTTGGCTGGAAAAGTGAAACGCCAAGGTCCTGCAAAAGCCAGCAAAGCCACAAGACTTCGCTAATGGTGCTAGCCATAGCCTGATATTCTGCTTCGGCCGAGGATCGCGCTACCACCGATTGTTTCTTGGTTCGCCAGGAGACAGGTGATGCCCCGAGCTTGATGAAATAGCCAGTGGTAGAGCGACGGGTGAGCGGGCAGCCTGCCCAGTCGGCGTCGCAATAAGCTGTGAGAGAGAGGTCAGCCGAGACAGGAAGGAATAGACCGCGTCCTGGGCACGTCTTGAGGTACCGCAACACACGATTGGCTGTATCAACGTGTGCCTGCGTAGGGGAATGAATTGCCTGACTGAGTATGTTGACAACATAGGTAATGTCAGGACGCGTAACGGTCAGGTAGAGTAGTCTACCTACCAACCGACAAAAAGAAGCAGGATCAGCTGCGGGAGATGAAGGATCGCGGCCGAGGCGATGATTCTGTTCAATAGGAGTCGGACTAGGGCGAGAAGCTGTGAGTCCGGATTCAACCAATATATCTAGCACATATTTGCGTTGGTTCAAAATCATCCCACGAGGAGAACGAGCAACCTCAATACCCAGGAAATACTTCAGGTTGCCGAGATCCTTGATAGTGAAGTGAGCATGGAGAAAATCCTTGACTCGCTGAATAAAAATCATGTCATTACCTGTCAAGATAACGTCATCAACATATATGAGGGCTGCAACGAAACTGGTACCGCGCCTATACGTGAAGAGAGCATAATCAGCTCGTCTCTGGACGAAATGAAGCTCCAACAAGGCGTGAGTAAAATTTTGGTACCAATTTCGGGATGCCTGACGTAAACCACATATCGATTTACGAAGCCGACAAACACGAGTGTCATTGGGAGTCGAGAAACCTTGAGGAATAGCCATGTATACTTCTTCATCCAGATCCCCATGAAGAAAAGCGTTGTTGACGTCAAGCTGATGAATAAACCAGCCTTTGGTGACCGCAACAGTGAGCAAACAACGGACAGTGACAAGCTTGGCGACGGGAGCAAACGTGTCATGATAGTTAATGCCTTCGATATGGGTAAAACCTTTGGCAACAAGACGAGCTTTATACCGCTCAATCGTACCATCTGCATTGAACTTGATCTTGTAAACCCATTTGCATGCAATGGCCTTCTTCCCAGGAGGAAGATGACACAAAATCCACGTGCCATTTGCCTCAAGGGCACGATATTCAACAATCATGGCCTGCCGCCAATGTTCGTGACGTACCGCCTGTTAGAAGAAACGAGGCTCGTCGTGGCTGGTGACAGCTGCGACAAAGGCATGATGAGCCTGTGAAAGGCGTTGATAAGTGAGGTAGTCTTCAATCGGGTAGGTGGTTGTGGTGGAGCCAGCAAAACCAGGTAGATCCACATCAAAACCGCGCAACCGAACTGAAGGTTGGCGCTGGCGATCACCACGCCGCGGGGCAGGTGCATCGGGAGCTGTAGGTGGCTCGGGAGAACTCGAGGGAGCTGCGGGCCGAGCCATAGCGGGCGTGGGTGAAGAAGAACCCTCATTATCGAGACCTGGTGATGGAGGATGTGAAGAAGCATTCCCGCCGGGCAAAAGTGGAGCAGGGTTGTGTGGGAAGGAGGCAGTATCCTCGCCAGGTGAAGAAGGGGCTGGGTTGGGCGGCGAAATGGCGCCAGAGGCGTCGGGCTCACCTGTGGGCAGTGGGGTAGAGGGAGGAGCAGCTGGTTCCTCGTCCCAAACAGGTTCAGCCATCATAGGAGGAGGCCGAGAAGGCATAGCCTGCAGGGATGATGGCGAAGGATCAGTTCTCAACTGATAGGGGTAGATGTCTTCTAAAAACTTGACATCACGGGACGTATAAATACGCCGGACTTCGAGATCAAACACTCGGTACCCCCGCTGTGTGCTTGGATAGCCGACAAATACACAGGCACGACCTCGTTCGGAGAACTTGTCCAAGCCATGATGATTGTCTCGAGCATAGACGAGACAACCAAAGTTCCGCAAGTGATGATAACTGGGATCCTTGCCAAACATGATCTGAAAAGTTGATCGATTTCCTGTCGTCACAAGTGGCATACGATTAATTAAGTAGGCTGCAGTAAGAATGCACTCTCCCCATAATTCGAGAGGCAAATTCGCCTGAAATCGTAACGCCCTCGCAGTTTCTAAGAGATGACGATGTTTTCTTTCTACGACGCCATTTTGCTGCGGAGTGTCAGTACACGACGTCTGTAGTATAATGCCAGACTGCTCATAATAAGTCCGGAGCTCATTCGTCGGGAATTCCAGACCATTATCGGCTTGTATGCCCCGCACCACTTTTCCAAACCGTCGCTGAATCATATGGAAAAATGACAATAAATTGCGCGCGACATCAGATTTAAAACGTAACAAATAGACCCAAACTGCTCTGCTGTAATCGTCCACAATCGTCAAAAAATACTTCCCACCAGAGAAAGATGGAACATGATATCCTCCCCAAGTATCCAAATGTATGAGTTCAAAACAAGGCGAAGTCGTGATCGAGTTAGACGTAAAAGGATCACGAGCTTGCTTTGCTCGAATACAAGAATGACACGGTGAATTCCGCTGCAAAAGAGGTGTCGAAATGTACTTTTGTAAAATAGATAACTTCGCCATGGAAGGATGCCCCAAACGAGCATGCCAAAGAGCCGTCTTATCAACTGCCTGACGTGCGGTATGTGCCACTGGATGCTGCCCATCAAACAGTATGAGATAATACAGCCCATCCACGTGCTTACCCATCCCAATCAGCTTCCTGGAGGGTAAGTCCTGAACAATGCAGAAGTCAGGAAGAAATATCAAGGCTACAGGTAGATCAGCCGTAAGCCTACTGACGGAGAGTAAATTGCACTGAAAATCCGGTATGTGCAATACTTGCCGAAGAGATAAATCATTAGATAATTGGACAGAACCAGTACGATGAACAGGGACCCCTGTCCCATTGGGAATTCGGACCTGTAAAGCCGGAGGTGACTCCAGCTCATTCAGCAACAAAGATTTATCATTCACTATATGTTCATTACAACCAGAATCTATAACCCATGAAGAATTGTGCATAGAGCACGTACCTGCCATATTTGAAACAGGATCGGCTGAGCTAGGTTGTGCAGCTCGCAAATCTGTCTTGAGGAAGGACGGGAGCTGCCGCAGTTGCGCCATCGTGAGGCCAGGGATAGGGCTAGTGTCAGACTCGGCCTCGACCGCGGCAGCTTGAGGTGACGCACGCTGCCCGCGATCAGTCTTGCGCTTATTTTGTGCATCGCCCTCCTTGCGTGGAGGATAACCGATGAGTTTGTAGCAAGTCTCTCAGTAATGGCCAGGTTTTTGGCAATGGCTGCACACTGATTTGCCATCAGCGTCACGCTCCCCCACCTTCATCATGCGATCGGGTTTCTTCTCCCCCTGAGCCTGAAAGGCGGCAGCATCCGTTCAAAGATGTTTGCTGCTGGTTATGTGACGCTGTTGTTCCTCGTTCATGATCAAATGATAAACTTCTCCCAAGCTAGGGATAGGCTTCATAGCAAGAATCTGGGTCCGAACAGTACCAAAAGCATCATCAAGACCCATTAGAAAGTCAAATAAACGCTCACCTTCCTTTGCTTCTCTTTGGCGGCGTTTGACGTCACACGTGCAGCCTCCACATGTGCACTCAAGTGAGGGCGCTAGAGAACTAATCTCGTCCCAGAGCCCTCTCAATTTTGTATAAAAGGTCGCCATAGAGGTCTTCTCCTGCTGTAGCTGAATGATAGTGCTCTTTAACTCGTACATTCGAGATGCACTACCATGGCCGAATCGAGCCTGCAATTCAACCCAGATTTCCCTCGCCGTTTTTGCTAATCTAACACTGCTGCGGATGTTCTTGGTCTATGCGGTTTTGAGCCAGCCCTTGACCATAACATCCGCATGTTTCCAAGCATCATAATCCTCGCCACCACTCTCCGGCGCGATTATGGAACCATCAACAAAATCTAGTTTGTTTTTGGCAATGAAAGAGTCCGAGATATCTCCTACCCACTCACCATAATTAGTCTCTGTGAGTAGTTCGCCAACGAAGAGTTGGCTAGGGTTGTCGGAGGTGTGGAGCATGAACGAGGACAGTCGCTGGGTCGCGCCACTGCTAACGCTGCCACCGCCGCCGCTGTTGTTGAAACTAACAGCGCTGTCACCTCCTGACATGATGATAACTAGCCGTGGATTTAATCACAGCTCTGATATCATGTAGAAATTAAGAATGTGGAAGAAAGAACGCGAGATTTACGTGGTTTCCTCGTTCGGTGAGAACGAGACTAGTCCACGGAGAACGTGAGTTCTCGGCTGAGCTATTATTCAATCTTTTAGGTTTTCTGTTCTTGAGGAAGGCGTATAAGCCTCTTCCCCTTAAGTACACGAGACCAACAACCCTAACAGCATGAAACACGGGTTTGATGGTAAAGTACAAAATGCACCCTAAACTTAATAATAAGTCTAGGAATCCCAACATATAATACTAAACAAACCTAATAAATTATAAAATTAACAAAGACACAACCATTCTCAATACAAAGCTAAAGCATCTAATCCCGAAATATCAATTTAATTTCTTAGACAAAGTAGAATACTATGCAAATCACTCATCTCTAACTCTGACACATCTAGTAAACAATAAAAACTAACAAAATATTGTTAACAAAGGGAAAATAAGTGAAAGAGTGACAACATAATTGAGAAAAAATAGTCTTTGATTTGAGTGGCTACTCATTTACAGTTCAACTACTTTTTCTTAATTACCCTCGTCATTGAGATGTTACAATATGATCCCCTATGTTTTTTATATATATGAAGAAGTAATCTTGGTGGGGGTGGGTCTGAACAAGATATGGGAAAGGAATGCTAAAACCAAATCCGTCACATCCCTATAATTTTTTTTTCATGTTTTACCTCAATCTGCCTCATACCCAATCAATAAAAGGATTCTCCGTGCTGACTGGAACGAGAATGATCGAGTACTCATAATTGTGAGTTTGATTGTCATCTCTATTTACGAGCCCAATCATTTATCAAATTTATATCATTCGTCACAACAAAGCTAGTTAGTATTATCACGATGGACGTTTTAGTAATTAACTAATTATATATATCAAAATGAAATAAATTTATGAGCATCATGAATGTGGGCTAAGTGTAGAGAGCACTCATACGATCACATTAAAATATGTACATTCCAATCCAATTATTGGATGATAAGAAATGTTAGTTTGTGCTATATATATCCAAATCCTTTTGTTTATTTTTTTTGCTTTAATTCATTCCCTTAATCTTTTTTTTTCTTCTTTAAACTTGTTTTAAGAGTTCATGGAGTTTGACCAATGGGACTTTGGTTTGGTTGCATACATAATCATCACAATAGAAAACTTTGAAGTATTCAGAAGTCCCACCTATCCAAATTAAATAATTAACCACATCCATGCATCCTACTTTCTTGGCAGTACAATTCAGTATATATATCTCAGTCTTCGTATTTTCATTTGACTTCAAATAATTCCTTTTCTTTTCTCCAATCATATAAAAATTGACAAATAGTGTCCAGATTATAGGTTTTAAGGTCCACCGACACTCATGCACACGTATTCAATGTTCCATCGATTTGATATTTTGTATTATCTTTTTATGCCGCAGGTATTATTATGCTCACGTCTATATGTGACCACAAGTCTACTCCCAACCCCCACCGCAAATACTGAATTTGTAAAAACAAACGGTGATAAAATGTCAGAAGTTTGCTATGGTAAACTATAAGTCATCGTGATTTGAAAAAAAAGTCGATTTTTTTTTTGTTATAAGTCTCTTATGTAAGATTAGAGGTGGCAAATGGATTGGATTGGTGGGTTGATGGATTGGATTGGTGGGTCCATGGATCAAATGGATTGGATCTAATGGATTGGTGGATTCATGGATTGGATCAAGTGGATTGGTGGATTATCCATGAATCCAAATGACATCTTCAACCAAGGACCAATATGTAAAATGTAAAAAGTTTAGGTACTAAAATGTCATAATGAAAAATTTTAGGTACCAAAACATAATTTTCCAATGATATTTTTCGTAAAAAAAATTAAATTTTAGGTACCAAAATGTAAATAATAAAAATTATAGGTACTAAACCGTAATTTGCCAATGATCCATGGATCCAATCCATGAATCCACCAATCCAATTGGATTTGGATTAAATGGATTGGATTTAAATGGATTGGATTAGGTGGATATTTTTAATGGATTGATGGATTGGATTGGTGGATTGGATTGAAATTGCCACCTCTATGTAAGATCGACTACAATTATTCATAAGAATGACTATGTTAGTGTAATCGGTTGACTACAACCAGTCGTTTTGTCCAAAGTCACTGCGCAAGTCACCATAGGCACAGAAAAAACTCGAATACAACTATTTTTGGTAATCGATCGATGCATTACTAAACCGGTAAGCAAACGATATTATATCACAAACGCTGATGTTAACGGCCGTTGAATTTTGCTTTATGTACGTTCTTAGTTCAAGCCATTCACCTCAAACTAAAATTCATATATAATAGAAAATTAGTTACTCGAATGTCAAAATCCAGATCCATCGTACTCTTCAAATTAATTTATCGATAAAAATTTATGTACAACCTCCCACAAACCTACTGTTGTAAAGAAAATCTCGTTGACTCAAGCAGGTTGTTTGCCCTGATCACCACACTTTCAAGCAGGTTCTGAGAGATCTCCAAATC